GAAATTTGGAGTCTCCTGGTCAAATTTGAGCCTAACATGTTTCTCGACGCGACGGCTCAGCTGTGGTTCGCGCTGTGCATGTGGCAGTTCCTCCAGCTGACGCTCTCCTAAATTATAAATTTCTATCTTTCTTCTGACGTGCCTCAGCAAAGCCATGAATTCCTGGCTTTCTTGTTATGTGCCTCAGGAAAACGATAAATTCCTGGCTTTGTTGTGATGTACCTTAGGAAAGCTATAAATTCTGGCTTTCGTGTGACGTGTCTGGAAAAATGGCCCAGGTGCTAATTCCTCGCAGCATAACACAGGCACCGGACGGTCAGCTAGCCATTTGGATCGTAAACGATCGTATGGAGGCAGTGATCAAATCTTTGAAGCTGCAAAATATTTATATGATTCAGAGTTAGGAAATGCATAATTTAATGCATAACATGGTGCCGCTGATTTCCATTATATCTCTGGTGACTCTGACGTCTTTCTTCCTTTGAGACGGACCTCTTGCCAGTCCTTTGGGGAGTCATACAATCGCGTAAAAATCTTGGCTCATACAGATGAGATCAGTTAATTTCTGTATAGTAACGCCATGAGTGATGAATTAGCATCATTGGGAAAAGTACCTCCCACAGTAAATTCCGACCCGATACGCACTCGCCATTAGAGACTGCCGGAGAGTGGACGTCACAAGTCGGGCCGAAATCGATAAGATGCTTAGGGAAAGTATTTCACCGTCATCTCTTTGGCTGCCACCTGTGGTACTAGTGAAGGTAAAGGATGGGGTGCATGCTTCCGCGAATATGACAAAAGGCAAGGGCCAGATTTCCTCCACAGGCGGGAGCACTCGTGTTGGTTCAACTCGTACGCTCACCTTGGCGCCGAAACGGAGATGGGCCTCTGAAGATCAGTTAATTACGTTTATCAGGATCCTTTTAAACCACACCAGGAGTTGAAGTGTCAGACCAACTGGCTGCGAAAGTACTCATCTAGAGATGATGAATTCCGATCCCGCTGCCTAGAACCAAGGATGAAATCGATGATCCAAGTCAACCGTCCGATGACTGAGATTCCCACCTTCGTTCCGTGTCCGAAAGCGATTTAGCAGATCCAGAAACCCCGAGCCAGCGTCAAAGAAACGTTGGACCAGATGAGGAAAGGGTATAACATTCCAAGCACAGGGTCGTGAGTTGTACCAGGTTCTATGTGGAGTCAGTTGTGGGTTGTATGCATATTATTTCGCATAAGACCTATACCTAAAGTGGCAGTTACATTTTATACACTTCTTGCGAGATATAACTGTATCTGTAGTTCACTACTATTACACATTGAGTGTTCACATCCTCCCCTCCCACCATCACCACCGCCACTGAGTGATCTTGGATTAATCTTTTTTGTTCAAGATCAGTGGTTCCCAAACTGTAGGCCTTGGCCCCCATGGGGGTCATACAACAGAATGCAGGGGGCCATAGTCTGAGGATATGTGTATATAAAACTAATATGGAATTTTGTGGTTAGGCAGCCAGTAAAGGCAACTTACAGATTCAGTACAGGTTTGTGAGATGCCTTGTTGCCAGACGCATGAGTAATACATCACTTTGTCTGTGTAATTACTAATTACCCTTTTTTCTGATTATGTATTCTTGACATAAAACAACATTGGCACACTTTACAGTAATAATTAAAATTTCAATTGAACATAATTCTAGGATTCCTTATCTACAGGTTCCGTATGACAACCTGGTCATGCCTTGAGAATTAGTCAGAAAGGCCAAGGGCAGAGTTAACCACAGCTTAAAAGTTAAATGCAGCACTGATCACCCTGCGCGACTTCCCACCTGTGAATACCCACATCAGAACCACTTTGATGGTAAGTAAGCTCTGCACCATTAAGTACCTATCCTATATTAACCCTTGTACCCCTTAGACCCTGTTACGCTTCGTTCGTGGCTCTCTTATATCATCCTCATTTTACTACTCCCAGTTATATATCATAAATCAAGACCTGTCATTGGCTCTTTGTTTTCAATATAGTGGATGTGTAGTAGCACTATATCTATCGTTTTATTATTCTAATTCTGGGTGAGCGTTGGCGATGTTAGTTAGGGGTATTTTTCTTTGTGCATTGCAGGTATAGTGATGGCTTCTAACAAGAAATGTAACTATGATGATAACTACCTGGATTTTGGATTTACAAGCATCACTGATAAAGATGTAGTGAAGCCTCAGTGTGTGATTTGTCACTAAGTACTCATTGCTGAATCACTAAGACCCAGTAAGCTTAGATTACATCTGGAAACCATGCATCCTCAGTATGTTGGCAAGGATCGTTCCTTTTTTATTAAACAAGAACAGAATATGGAGAGACAACGCTTGATGCCAGTGGTTCCTTTCATGAAAAAATGTCTGCCGTAGTGGAGGCATCATTTACTGTATCCCTTGAGATTGTAAAGAAAAAGAAACCTAAGACAACTGGGGAAGAGTTAATTGACCATGTGCCCAAACAATGGTAAAGTTTGTTTTGGCTGAGAAAAGTGCTGAAAAGCTGAATGCTCTCAAATAATACAGTGCAACGCCGAATCTCCCAAATGTCAGATGACATCAAAGAGCAGGTAGTACAGGAAATAAAAAGTGCTGGATTATTCAGTATTCAACTCAATGAATCTACTGACATCCAGCCCTGCACACAACTCCTGGCTTTTGTAAGGTATGTTCATAAGGATCTGAAGGAAGAATTCTTATTTTGTGAACCTCTTGGGCTATCAACAAAAGGTAAACATGTAAATCAGTAAATTGCAGAATTCTTTGAAACTGAAAATCTTGACTGGGGCAATCTCTGTGGGATATACACAGATGGAGCTCCAGCCATGTTGGGTTCTCAGTCAGGTTTTGTCACAAGTTACAGAAAAAGCACCAAGTACTATCCCTACTCATTGTATGATCCACAGGCAAGCTCTGGCATCAAAAACTACCTTCAGAATTACAGGACACTGAATATCTTTATAAAGACAGATAACTTTGTAAAAGGGTCTGCTCTTATCACACGCCTTTTCAAGAAACTGCCAGGATATGGATGCACCTCATGAAGCCCTCCTATTTAACACAGCGGTCCGCTGGCTATCAAAAGGAAATGTAGTTCAGCGTGTATTTGAGCTTAAGGAAGAGATCGTCTTTCTTACAATACAGAAGCAAGATTTGCTCTCAGCATGGTCTGCAGATGGATTCATTATACGGTAGGCCTACCTCTTGGACATATTTAGACAGCTTAACACACTAAACCTAGAAATCCAATTGAAAGGAAACTTGATAATTAATTTTGTCGACAAAATAGCTTTCATTCGTAAGATCGAGAACTGGAGGCGTAAAGTTGGAATGGTAAACTTGGAAATGTTGAAGGCTGTGTCAGAAATTCCAGAAGAGTGTGATGTTGCTACACAAAACCTGATTACCCAACATCTTGAGGCCTCGGAAGGAGAATTTAAAAGATGCTTCCCAGATACCAAAATCCAACTTTGCGGCTAGTACGGTTCCCCTTCACTGTCCCAGTGACATGCCTTCCTGATGACGATGGTGCCCAAACAGAGCTGTTGATACTTCAGGAGGATTCAGAAGCCAAGATAAGTTTGAAACAGAAACTCTCACAGTATTTTGATCATCAATGGCAGCGTCATACCCAAACTTATGTGACGACTTTTCGACACCTAACATTTTCAACAACTTACTCCTGTGAGACTGTATTCTCTCAACCATTCCGGTGTGCTTTAAGTAAAACAAAACCAAGAATCAGGCAGCTTGTTGACAATTTGCAATATCATCCGTCACGGTGAGTGGAATGGGGAGACAAGTGAATGGAAAAGGAACCTGGCATGAATATTCAGAAGAAATATAGTGTGGAAGGAGGTGGGTGTGCGACCACTGAAGGCCGTGGATATTGAAGTTCATTTTATGACTCCTTGTGATGGCATTTCTCTCTGAATGATATTTGTCAGATAAAAATAAGATTAGTCATTTACTAGTGTGGTATTACTTTTCATTCAGCGGAATTGTATTATCTTGTTTTGTGTTTATTGCTGAAGCAGCTTCCAGCAATATATTCATTTTTTTTATTATAGTATAATCTGAGTATGGAAATTTCTTGTGCACTATATAATTACGTTTCTTTAGTATCACTTCAAAAATGTCTTTATTACTACTTCACAAAATAACAAAAAAATTGCATGGAATCAAAGTTGCAGAAATTGCTAGAGTGGCATATATATGGACCTAATGGGTGTAGGACTGTTCTAGAAGGTTTGATGAACTTGTTATATATAAGAAAATGTTTTGTCTCTTAGTTTTATTCGACCATCCATTATGTTAGCTTTAACTTAACCTATGTGTGACCATGTTCAAGAATTAGATAATGGGCAAAAACGTGTTCCCGTATATTGACTGCACAAATATGGTTATAAATGAGCTTCAGACACCCTGAAAATCTAGCGTAGAGAACCGTCACGTTCTTTGCTAGTAACTTGTAAAGGCTGCGGTATAAACGATATATTACGAAGGTTATGTATTCTATGTAAGGAGCGTAGCCACGATTTCATAAGGGGGGGGGGCAAACTTTTAAGTATAGAAGTTCAGTGAAGCTTCTGGCTTTTGCATAAATGGGTTGAATCGTTTATTTGCTTGGTCTAGCAATAATTTATATAAAGTTATTGACGAACAGATCAACTGATACATATATGAAATCGGCAATTCACAAATGTTACAGAGTGGTAAAGTACGTACACAAATATTTATGCGTCTGTGCACTAATATTTGTGTGGGGGCTGACAAACACAGACAGGTCACACCGTTTATTTTTTTATGATACACTGAACCAAATCAGTTGTATAACGACTTGTAAAATACGACTAAGCAGTTCCTGTGATTCCCAGCTTGAGAAATGTTGGAGCAGCAGATATGAGCGATGCCTCTATCCAAGTGGGTGATCTGTCATACTTAAACATTCCCGAGAATTGCAGAATCCT